TCAGCCACCCACCCACGAGGGTGTCATGCGGCACAAGGCCTTTTTAATGTGGGCATTCCCGAGCCATTAGTCTCAGCCAAAAAATAGCCATTTTGAACCCGTATAAACGGGGTTTCCGGAGACAGAGGGAACCGATCAGTCTTAGAAACCTCCCGAAGGAGACTTCGCCCTTCGGCGTAGCCTCCTTCGGGTTGAACCCCTCGGGGTTCCGGAGACAGAGAGTTGAACCGAGCAGTCGCTCAGACAAAGTATCTGGGCTGCTAAGATATTCAGCCACCCACCCACGAGGGTGTCATGCGGCACAAGGCCTTTTTAATGTGGGCATTCCCGAGCCATTAGGCTCAGCCGGAGAAAAAATAGCCCATTTGAACCCGTATAAACGGGTTCAGGGCCGAGTTTTACCTCCCCGAAGGAGACTTCGCCCTTCGGCGTAGCCTCCCTCGGGTTCCTCTCCGTCCGGAGACAGAGAGTTGAACCGATCAGTCTCTCAGAAAGTATCTGGAGTGCTGAGATATTCAGCTACCCACCCACGAGGGTGTCATGCGGCACAAGGCCTTTTTAATGTGGGCATTTCCGTATAAAGCCATTAGGCTCAGCCAAAAAATAGCCCATTTGAAGTTGAATATAAACAGGTTCAGGTATCGAGATATTTACCTCACCCCCGAAGGAGACTCCGCCCTTCGGCGTAGCCTCCTTCGGGTTCCTCCCGCCCGTAGGAAGAGAGTTGAACCGATCAGTCTCTCAGAAAGTATCTGGAGTGCTGAGATATTCAGCCACCCACCCACGAGGGTGTCATGCGGCACAAGGCCTTTTTTAATGTGGGCATTCCCGAGCCATTAGGCTCAGCCAAAAAATAGCCCATTTGAACCCGTATAAACGGGTTCAGGGCCGGTTTTACCTCCCCGAAGGAGACTTCGCCCTTCGGCGTAGCCTCCCTCGGGTTCCTCTCCGTCCGGAGACAGAGAGTTGAACCGATCAGTCTCTCAGAAAGTATCTGGAGTGCTGAGATATTCAGCCACCCACCCACGAGGGTGTCATGCGGCACAAGGCCTTTTTTAATGTGGGCATTCCCGAGCCATTAGGCTCAGCCAAAAAATAGCCCATTTGAACCCGTATAAACGGGTTCAGGGCCTGGGTGCTGAGATATTTACCTCCCGAAGGAGACTTCGCCCTTCGGCGTAGCCTCCTTCGGGGGTTCCTCTCGTCCGGAGACAGAGAGTTGAACCGATCAGTCTCGCAGAAAGTATCTGGAGTGCTGAGATATTCAGCCACCCACCCACGAGGGTGTCATGCGGCACAAGGCCTTTTTAATGTGGGCATTCCCGAGCCATTAGGCTCAGCCAAAAAATAGCCCATTTGAACCCGTATAAACGGGTTCAGGGCCCATTTGAACCCGTATAAACGGGGTTTACCTCCCCGACTCCGCCCTTCGGCGTAGACTTCTCAGAAAGTATCTGGAGTGCTGAGATATTCAGCCACCCACCCACGAGGGTGTCATGCGGCACAAGCCTTTTTAATGTGGGCATTCCTGAGCCATTAGGCCTAGCCCATTTGAACCCGTTCAGTTTCCTCTGTCCGGAGACAGAGAGTTGAACCGATCAGTCTCTCAGAAAGTATCTGGAGTTCTGAGATATTCAGCCACCCACCCACGAGGGTGTCATGCGGCACAAGGCCTTTTTAAAGTGGGCATTCCCGAGCCATAAGGCTCAAAAAATAGCCCATTTGAACCCGTATAAACGGGTTCAGGGCCTGAGATGTTTTTACCTCCCGAAGGAGACTTCGCCCTTCGGCGTAGCCTCCTTCGGGTTCCTCTCCGTCCGGAGACAGAGAGTTGAACCGATCAGTCTCTCAGAAAGTATCTGGAGTTCTGAGATATTCAGCCACCCACCCACGAGGGTGTCATGCGGCACAAGGCTTTTTTTAATGTGGGCATTCCCGAGCCATTAGGCTCAGCCAAAAAATAGCCCATTTGAACCCGTATAAACGGGTTCAGGGCCATTTTACCTCCCCGAAGGAGACTTCGCCCTTCGGCGTAGCCTCCTTCGGGTTCATCTCCGTCCGGAGACAGAGAGTTGAACCGATCAGTCTCTCAGAAAGTATCTGGAGTTCTGAGATATTCAGTCACCCACCCACGAGGGTGTCATGCGGCACAAGGCCTTTTTAATGTGGGCATTCCCGAGCCATTAGGCTCAGCTGTAAAAAAATAGCCCATTTGAACCCGTATAAACGGGTTCAGGGATGAGTTAACCTCCCCGAAGGAGACTTCGCCCTTCGGCGTAGCCTCCTTCGGGTTCCTCTCAAATCCGGAGACAGAGAGTTGAACCGATCAGTCTCTCAGAAAGTATCTGGAGTTCTGAGATATTCAGTCACCCACCCACGAGGGTGTCATGCGGCACAAGGCCTTTTTTTTTTAATGTGGGCATTCCCGAGCCATTAGGCTCAGCCAAAAAATAGCCCATTTGAACCCGTATAAACGGGTCACCCACCCACGGGGGTGTCATGGGGGCCTTTTTAAGTTCTGGGTTTAACCTCCCCGAAGGAGACTTCGCCCTTCGGCGTAGCCTCCTTCGGGTTCCTCTCCGTCCGGAGACAGAGAGTTGAACCGATCAGTCTCTCAGAAAGTATCTGGAGTTCTGACGCTCACTCTCTCCCCAGAGCTGACTTATATAAGAGGGACCAGTCCATTACTAGTTAGAAGGTGGGTGCGCCCCAACAATTACTAACATTATTTTGTTTAGTTTCTTGTAAATAAATTTGTAGTCATATTGTAAATACTCATTGGAGATTTTAAATTGTTGTTTTATTCCCCCCACCACAGAAAATGAATTGTAAATATGAGGACTAGTTAGGATTTTCATAAAGACAAGGAGGTATTATGGTGAATGTAGAAAGAAAGGTAATTAAGAAAGTATTGTTTTAGTGTTAGAAATATTGTGGCATCTTTGGGTCAGTGTTTGTGGCTTACAGCCTTGTGTCACACCTAAGCTCCGCTTCGTAAATCACTATCAACCATTTGCAGGTTGTTTAAAAACAGAAAATATTTTTAGATTGTAAGAATTTTCTTTTTTTGTTTTTTAGATAATAATGATTTAGTGATACTAGTCTTACTAATTAACCCATAGCTGGAAGCAGAAGCGGTGGATCCATACTTTTCTTGGCGCAAAAAAGAATATCAAACCTCTACGAGAATTGAAACTCGAGTCCCTGATTAACAATTCCGAGCCATTATCCATTACACCACTGACAGCTCCAGACTTATAGTTTCTGAATCAAGGGAAAGTGTGCTGAAATATTATGTAATATCTATTCTCTTAAATGGCAGTGAATGCTGAACAATTTCCTCACAGAAGAAGATGAGACTTAAAGCAACAGAGATGTGGTTCCGCAGAATGATACAAAGAATAACTTGGATGGGACATGTGAGTAATCAGAAAATTTTAAAGAAAATGCAAACAAAAAGATTAATTATACTCAAAAAAAGAAAGAAGTATCCCCCTATATTTCTGAGATGAGGTATTGTGTACACTATTTACATTATTCGGACTATTGTCCTCATCTTTGTCGCCATATTTATTACAACGTTTCGGCCCTTCAGTATCTCTCTATATTTCTGAGATGAGGTATTATGTACACTATTTAGATTATTCGGCCTATTGTCCTCATCTTTGTTGCCATATTTATTACAGCGTTTCGGCCTTTCAGTATCTGTCTATATTTCTGAGATGAGGCATTATGTACACTATTTACATTACTCGGACTATTGTCATTTTTTTGCTGCCGTATTTATTACCACGTTTCGGCCGTTGTACACTCCGTCATGTCGAACTGAACCCTTTATTTCGCTCGCTGAGGTAGACTGTTCTAGTTCCACATGCCATGTCTAATGGATGTCAGTTATCAGTTATCTCCTGTTAATTCCCGTCTCCAAGTTCTCCAGCGCCTTAACCAGGTCTTGGAAACCAAAATATTTGGATCCTGTCACTGGATCTAACTAACGCCTTTATCCACTGTGCCTTTTGTCCTTAAGGACAATTTATAATTCTGAGCCATTATCTATTACACCATTGACAGCTACAAGCTTATAGTATCTGGATCAAGGGAAAATGGGCAGAAATAGTATGTAATATCTATTCTCTTAAATGGTAGGGAATGCTGAACAATTTCCTCACAGAAGAAGATGAGACTTAAAGCAACAGAAATGTGGTTCTGCAGAATGATGCAAAGAATAACTTGGATGGGACATGTGAGTAATCAGGAGATTTTAAGGAAAATGCAAACAAAAAGATTACTTATACTCAAAAACAGAAAGAAGACAGCTGTAATTCCTGAAACTCATATTGAGAAAAACGTATTTGGAGAATTTGACACGGCCAAGACATATCGAATGTAAAAGGGAAGAGGAGGCGATTTTATGTAAACGGATGCCAGAACACGGACCTGGGTCATAGTAAAAAGATAAATATTATTAAGACCAACAAACAATAGAAAATTGTGGAGAGCCATGACCCGACGTCCTGAAGGTACGCACCTCATAGAAGAGGTTTACAACAATCAAAATCCATATTTACTCAAAATAGGAATTTATTTTCTTCTTTTATTTTCTTTGAAAATTTTACAAAATATTTCTCTTTTTTTTTCAAAAACCTTGGAAAATTTTCTCTTCACCTTTCCATATTCAATAATTGTACTCATTTACCATAAGAGAACGCTTCGAATTTTTCAGGTCAGCGTTGATTTCGCTCTATTTTTTATAACAATTGTCTGCATTATCAATTATGTCTTTATTTTTTCATCCATCATTTTTAATCTATTTTCCATTATTCTATACTTTTATTCCATCTATAATTTATTATTTTATTCATTCTTTACTTTACGAGTCATTTTTTTTTATTTCTTCATTCTTCCATTCGACATTTTTTGTTCTCAATTTTGCATGAAGTTTTTTTGTTCATTATCCTCTCTTTGAATTGTTTTTCTTCTGCTTCAAAAATCCCATTTACGTCTGATTCCATTCATGTGTATAAACTTTGTAATGACAGAAAGAAAGAAAGAAAGAGAGAGAGAAAAATAAGAAAGAAACAGACATAGATAGATAGATAGATAGATAGATAGATAGATAGATAGATAGATAGATTTGAATAAACAGAGATAGATAGATAGATAGACAGATTGAAAGAAAGAAATAACGATAGACAGAAACATATAGATATATATGAATAGATAGGTAGACAGATAGAAATATATAGATATATGTGAATAGAATATATATATATATAGATAGATAGATAGATAGAGAGAGAGAGAGAGAGAGAGAGAGAGAGATAATGAATCACTTGTAATAGATGAATCTCCACAAAGAGAAATGAACAGACTGCTACAATGGAGAAACATTTCTTATTTGAATCGAAAAGAAAGATTTAAAAAAATAGGCTGTGATATTTCTCGTCATTGTGTGAACTTTTTTTGTTTGTTTTGTCCTTTCTCTTTTCTTTCCTTCTCTTTTTATGACTTCTTTTTCTCTTTCCCAGTACAGTTTATTTACTTTCCTTACCCCCCCTCTCTCTCTCTCTCTCTCTCTCTCTTTCACTTGTTGTCTTTTATTTTCATTCCACTTTCTTTCTAATTTTTTTGTCTTTCTTTTCTGACCTATGTTTATTTTTTTCTTTCTTTTATTATTTTTTCTTTTTCTTCTTTTCTTTCCATTTTATGAATTATTTTTCTTTCTTTACGTTACTTCATTTAATTTCTTTCTGTCTTTTCTTTTCTTTTTCTTTTCTTCTTCTTTTTCCTTCCATTCTTTTTTGTTTCCGTTGTTTTTCTTTTTCTTTTCACACTTTCTTTTTCTGTCTCCTTTTGTTTTGTTTTTTTTCTTTCTCTTCTTTCTTTTTTTAACGCCTTTTTTGATCTTTTCTCTCCCTCTTTTTCCAACTTTCTTTCTTTCTTACTTTCTCTCCATTAATTTGTCATTTACTTCCTTCACATTCTTCTTCTGTATAGCGTCTCCCTTCAAGATGTGGCTGATCATGGCTCTCCACAACGTTGTGGCCCTCAGCAGTGCTTCTCCGTTTCCCAAGAATCCCATTCTCCGTTCCCTTATCGATTCGCACAATCTACTCAGCTACGTGGGTCACTGCGTCCACCTATCTCTCTCGCCCTCAACATGTGCTGTTCGGATTAAGTTTGCCAAGCCCTCTTTCCTCATTATATGTGTAAGTAATTTCAACTGCCTTTTGTTGGTTCTGATTACGAGTGTTCTTTTTGTTACCAAAAGACATCCACTTTTTTTACTCGCTCTATACATTGCTTTGTCAGTATCCTTTAGAGCCACACTTCAGTTGCCTTCAATTTTCTCTGTAGAGAGATTGTCCAGTATTCACTACCATACAAGAAGATGGAGATCACACAGCAATTCAGCACAGTTTCTAACGAAATTATTCTGTCTCTCAGTACCATGTTTAACTTTGGGGAGAGTGGCATCATTCACTAATCCAATTAGCCTTCGAATTTCGATCGTACATTTTTCATCCTCGGATCTATCCAGATATTTCGTAATTCCATTTCATCATTTCTTCCTTTCTTTTTCATTTGATTCTATATTTTTATTTCCTTTATTCAGCTGGTAACAAGATTTCCATCTTAACCTGGTGTCACATAATTGACCGTGCTATATAAGTCATTAACATCTCTAGACTTTTAACAGACTCAGATTATTAATTACCTCTTTCCCACTCACTGCTCATTATTTCTTCTTCTTCTTCTTCTTCTTCTTCTTCTTCTTCTTCTTCTTCTGCTCCTCCTCCTTCTCTTCTACTCCTCCTATTTCTTCTTCTTTTTCTTCTTCTTCTGCTCTTCCTCCTCCCCTTCTCCTCCTCCTATTTCTCCTTCTTCTTCTTCTTCTTCTTCTTCTTCTTCTTCTTCTTCTTCTTCTCCTCCTCCTCCTCCTCCACCTTCTTCTTCTTCTCATTCTTCATCTCCTCCTCTTCTCTTCCTCATTCTTCTTCTGCTCCCCTCCCTATCCTCGTCATTCTTCTTCTCCTCCTCATCATCATTCTTTTTCTTCTTCTTCTTCTTATCCTCCTCCCCCTTATCTTCTTCTCCTACTATTTCTTCTTCTTCTTCTTTTTCTTCTTCTTCTTCTCTTCTGTCTCCCCTTCTCCTCCTCCTATTTCTTCTTCTTCTTCTTCTTCTTCTTCTTCTTCTTCTTCTTCTTCTCGTCCTTTCAAAAGACATCATTAGACTAATGATCAATCCCGAGAGATTTGTTAACATGAAACTGGCTTCCAAAACGTGTTCTTTTCCTGATTCGCAGAAGTGGGTAGCAGCAGACTGCGCCAGAACAAATTGTCCCGCCTATAGAGGACAAGGGGAGTCAACACACAAAAACCGTATCAAAAATAAGAAGCGAAGACACTAAGAAGCATTAGTGAAACAAGGAAACACCCTGCTTTGTTATAAGAAACAATTGGGCATTTGTGTTTTTCTGAGTTACGAGCAAAATAAATAGAACTGAACGTGAGGTTGGATTCATCTTAAGTCTTATGAAAAATGTGGAAAGAGAATAGAGGAAAAGCAAATTTGATTCAATTGACGACGGTACCCGTAAACCTAGAAACATCAACATTAATCCAAAGGATACTTCTTTAAATTTGTCAGTTGTTTTTCAAATTTATAGTCAGAAAGATGATTATGACTAGATAGATAGATAGATAGATAGATAGATAGATAGATAAGAATGGAATGAGATAGATAGATAGATAGATAGATAGATAGATAGATAGATAGATAGATAGATAGATAGATAGAAAATGAAATGATGAAAATGTTTGAAAAAATAAATAGAATGAGATAGGTACATGGAAAGAAATAGAATGAGATAGATAGATAGATAGATAGATAGATAAAGTAAATAGGACGTAATAGATAAATAGATAGAAAGAAACAATGTTAGATAGATAGATAGATAGATAGATAGATAGATAGATAGATAGAATGTGATAGATAAATAGATAGAAAGAAACAGAATGTTATAGATAGATAGATAGATAGATAGATAGATAGATAGATAGATAGATAGAACGTGATAGATAAATAGATAGAAAGAAACAGAATGTTATAGATAGATAGATAGATAGATAGATAGATAGATAGATAGATAGATAGATAGAAAGAAACAAACAAACAATCAATCAAATGATTACAGAGAAGGTGTGGAGAAAATGTTTAAGATGTTTCTTTAAAGTTTTTGAATACCTGATAAAAATGGTACAAACTCCTAAATTTGCAACATTGTGCTGACCTTAGATTCCAGTAGAATTTCATTTGTCTGCATCTGCCCAATCAACGTTCCTAGTAAATCTAGTAATATTTCTTTTTTTTTCCTTTTTTGTCTCATTCCACTTTGTCTACTCATTGGGAAATTAACGATTTTTTTGTCTCTGCTTGAGGCTCAGGCAACCAAAAGAGAAATAAATATCCGATGAGTGAGGATTATTGATTCTGCACATTCAAGGAACCTTCGATTTCTAACATGAAGCATTTCTTTGGCTTCATTTTCTCGGAGAAAAAAAAATCGAATTATATTAATTATATTATCTTGACAAATACGGTTCAGTCTTTTTTCGTTTCTTTATTGATTGAATTTTTATGTATTAGTAGCAAACAAATTATGAAAGCAAAGTGCAACCTGACCTCGAATTTAATTCGAAACATTGAACGGAACTTCAATCAAGGTCAGATACAACTCCACTGATTGGCATCTGACTTACGGGCGTTCAAAATTTTTGTAGGTTATTTTAGACTTGTAGAAGAGAATTGTAGAATAACGAAAAATGAATTTTTCATATTTAAAATATTTTATAAACATAGTGATATATTTACATCAAAATAAGCCCAAAAATATTGTCAATAGCTCGACGGGCCAAATTTCAAATAGTTTTTTTTTCATTTTATCTGTGTTTGTATTGATAAATTTCCTTGTGAAATATTTAATACGCTCGATTCTGCTAATATTGGGAGCTTTATGTGTATGTATCAACAATAGTTTTAGCAGTCTTTTCTACTATATACCAGGTCCTGAAAAGACAAGAAGAAGAAGAAGAAGAAGAAGAAAAAGAAGAAGAAGAAGAAGAAGAAGAAGAAGAAGAAGAAGAAGAAGCCGCCCTATTAACTAGAACATCAAATACATTGAGAACACGTAAAACACAACGCAATTACCGTATTCTCCTGCTTATAAGATGCAGTTTTTTTTTCCTAAAAGAAATACCCTGAAGAATACTCTTCCAAGACTAAAGTAAGCCAAGTATGCTTGAACGGTCACCTAATAAGCTTGACTGATATGGACATAGATTTCTATGTTGAGTCATTACACTATAATGTTAGTATTCCAAGACTATAAACCTTCCTGGAGCCGAGCCACAAGCTTAAACATGCTCTGTTTACGAGCAGTGGTAGGAGCCTTTCTACTCTTGACTAGTATGTCATTGACAAACAAAACCGGATGAGTGATTAATGTAAACAATACATAGTGCCAGTATGTGAGTGACGCATGGTGAATGTGTTGTTGTATGAGAATGACATTTTTTTCTTAGAAATTCCTTTCCAGTATTAAGGGGCGTCCTCCAAGCAGCAGCGTCTTGTAAGCCGGAAAATACGGTAATCGCGAAATATACATATATCGATAAACAGAAAAATATCTTGATGAAAAATAACGATTTCACAAAAAAAGCGAATGTATAAAATCAAAACATATTTTAAAAATGGGAAATTATTAAATTTTCTTTTCTTCTATATACGAAATATAAACGGTTCTTTCGTTTAACTAAAATACATATATAAAATTATCTAAGATAATACTTAAAGAAAATAATATTAAAATGGTCATCAGCTCAAGCAGTTTAGATATTAATTCAAAGTAAAGATTTTACGGTAGCAGATTTGGAAGTTAGGGCACATTCTATACACTTTGGCCATAATCAATTCTCTTTCAATCAAAATTTTATTCTTTAAATCAGCATCGTGGTCTGATGGTTTGTGACGTCCATATGATGTTTTATTTATATTCATAGAAGATTCAAACGAGATAGATAGATAGATAGATAGATAGATAGATTGTATGAACAGAATGAAAGAGATTGTATCAACAGAATTAGGCAGACTAAGATAGATAGATAGATAGATAGATAGATAGATAGATAGATAGATAGATAGATTGTATGAACAGAATGAAAGAGATTGTATGAACAGAATTAGATAGGCAGACTGAGATAGATAGATAGATAGATAGATAGATAGATAGATAGATAGATAGATAGATAGATAGATAGATAGATAGATAAAAACAGACACAGGGTAGAAAGGAGATTAACAGAAAGAAAGAAGACTAAAATCGGCCA